AATTTTAATTCTGGCTAGAAGAACAACTTCTTGAGGTGTTTATAAATTTCTCTCATTTTCAGTCCAAACATTATTGGATTAAAGAGAGGATGATACATTACTATTTGTATAGACATTATTAAATGTACAACTTTAGGAAAATGTGATTCCAAATAAATAATAATAACATCATATGCACACAAACAGGAATAGTTGATCAAAACAATCAGGTGAGGTAAACAAGTCTGTACAGCTTGTTTCCTCACATCTCCACTACTTCGATAGCATATTATAAGTATCCTGGTGTATGTAAAAAGTATGAAGAGCACAGGGAGAAGTGCAACATTTAACAAAACAACCACATCATGTATAATTTGCCCTGTTGAGACAGTGCATTGAAGTTCGTAAATTCTATTGTTACAATACACTCCATTCAAAGTAAAGCTGCAGAGTTTTTTATAAGCATTAAATTCAGCTGGTACTGCAACCTGACATGCAGGCAGAATCCAAGCTAAAACTAAGAAAACACTCACTGTGGTTTTTCTCATGATAGTTGGATACTGCAGAGGTTTACATATTGACACATACCTGTCATAAGCCATGGCTGCCAACAGTAAAAACTCTGAACCACCTAAAGAGTAAAAGATATGAAACTGAAACAAACAGGCTGAATATGATATGACCTGTTTCTCAGACAAAAAGTCAATCAACAGCTTTGGGTAGACAACAGTGCTGAAGAGAACAGAGTTCAGTAACAAGGCTGCAATGAAAATGTACATAGGCTCATGGAGGTTTTTGTGAATCCAGATGAGACACACAATAGTAGAGTTACTGCAGATGATTAGAATATATGCTGTAAAAACAACCACAAAATACAGATATCTGTATTTGCCCACTTCCACATATCCATCAACTGTTATATAGGTTACATTTAATTCATCCTCCATTGATTAACTTTATGAATAAGAGGAAGCTTATATAACTGCCACAGTAGTCACATCTGAGAGCAGAACTATTGCTCTGAAGACTGGTTTAACATGTAACCTAGACTGGAAGGTCTTTTTCTTTTACAGATACTTGACGTTACAGCTCATCTCCAGAATTCAGAGAGTGAACTGTTTGAGACTGTGCAGTGAGTTTATTTCATCCTCCATGGAGCTCATTAAACTCTTCACTAAAACACCATCATGTAAACAGCTTCATCAAACTCTGGAGACATGAACTTGTATACAGCTTTAGTCAGAGGCTGGGAAAACAGTTTCAAGAGATGCAAAGGCCTGGTCTGAAGAACAAAATTGCAAAGCCTTTCACTCAAAGGTTCAACCCACACCCAGCACAGACTGCTTGCCTTCCTACCCTCTGGCCGGAGGTTCAGAAGTGTGAAATGTAGGACCACTAGACTGAAAAACTCTTTCTTTCCTTCTGCCATCAGACTCCTAAACAGCTGAAGAGGTTATTACCAGGAAATAAGTGATGTACTGTTTATATTCTCAGTTTGCACATGCATAATTGCACATTGACTGTTGACTGCTGCAAATGCTGCTCCCATACAGCATACATTCTCTTATTATATTCTTATATATTTGTATTATATCTACTTTATATTTCATTTGTATTTTGTGGCATTCATGTGGATGGGAAAGTAAGAATTTCATTGTACAGGGAAACACGTTTCCTAATTGTGCATATAGCAAATAAACACTGACCTTTGAAATATAACTAAAAAACCAAAGCATGACACCAAAACTGACATACAACTGACCAAATGGAGTAAGAAACACAACCCAGGGGTATAGCTAACAAAACAAAGAAAGTCAAAGCTGGAAACAACAAAAGCCAAACCTAAACCAAATACAAAGTAAACTAAACGGGGCTGCAACAGTAATTCGCCTCCAGTAGAGGGCAGACTACGAGTAAATAGAATAGTCAAAAAATGCTCAGAGTAAGGAACCCAAAACTGTAGCACAAACCAGAAAAAATGTCCAGAATTAAGAGAAACATGGAACCCCAGTACAATCAGCCGCTTGTATCAGTAAAGTATAGCGTGATCCATGTTGGCATCAGTAATGTTAGAATGAATCAGCCTGATAGTAGTGCCAGGAAGTTAAATTCTTATTTGTACCCAGTATATGTACTGGTTACTCTTTAACATGAACTGAACCTTTTAGATTTTCATTGTCAGCGGAGTGAATTAGAATAAGTTGTACTGATGCTGATGTATTGAATGGTGTCACATCCAGGCTCAGAGGAAGGACGATTTTGAGAGGACCATGTGACTTTTTAGCCAAAAACAAACAAAAAAAAAACAAACAAACAAATCCAAATTATGTAAGTCAGTTATGAAGGAAGTGTATGAATGTGAGGAAGGGTAAGTGCAAGAGCAAGGCAAAAAAAAGGATTTTAGTTGTTGGTACTGGAGGAACTGTTCTCTTCCAATTCCACACTTCTGGACTAATGCACTGAATAATATGAGCTGCTTATTTTCTAATAGGTGACAAAGAACTTAGAGGAAATCATCTGGACGTAGTTTTAGGTAAAAGATGTTTCACCTCTCATCCAAGAGGCTTCATCAGTTCTGTCTGACTGGTGGTGAGCAGGAGGTATTTATCCCACTGGGTGATGTTTCAATCCTTCGACGGCCAACCCGGTGGCCCCATGCCAGGATCTGGTTGATCTCTTTTTCCTCCTCACCATACACTGGTACTTGGTTGGCCCTCTGTCCTGGTAGTCCTGGAGGAAGGTGGAGCAGGGGGGCCAGCCGGTGCCAGTCACAGCCCCAGGACCTTAAACAGGCGAGAGAAGGGGCAGAATAATCCCCTTACCTGTGTGACACACAGGCAGTCTACCCTGTTGTGTTGAAGAGAAGACCAGGAGAAGAAGCAGACAAGCTGGTGGCAGACTACATGAGCAGTGACAGCTGCCCTTACCATCTAGTTCCGTGGGAGGACGAGGACCTCTACACCCAAGACATAATCCAATACAGAGACAGTAGTACCTATACTAATATACCACCAGTACTAGGATTAAGTTTTATTACTGCATGGGATAAGTGTGATATTTTTGGACAATTACTCCAACCCCCAAGGTTTCCCTTTGTTACTGATTTTACACCTGAAACTAGATATTTTTGGAAGGTGAGAGTAGGACCATTTATCTTTACAGTAGGAAGTGACAGGGGAAGAGTGAGATTTATAGCAGACAATCTGAAAGAGCCAAGCACGCGTTCCCACTATTTTGTACACCATTGGGTAAATATTCACTTAAATCAGGACTGCTTATATTCAGGGGAACTTAATTATTCGCGTAGCCCCAAGCAGAAGAAGCTAAAATGGTTTGGCACGGTCGGTACCCACCACGCAGGGGGATTTTGGGCGTTTTCGTATTAATTACCTTGCTGGTTGTCGCTCCCATACTATGGTGGGAAAAATATACTAAAACCATATTTATATACCCTCCCATTAATAATAAAACAGTGGTGGGGGGTTTAGACCAAATGCAGGGCAATGTAATTACACCTGTTTTAACTTCACAACCAGCTACAGTTCCCCTGTCTTCTTGGGGAATATCAATAGGACTTGGTGCAGTCGCCTGATCCATGATAACCATATATTGATTGGTCCATGGGCCCGTGGTGGCCTTTATTGGTATTGTGGGGCACATCATCTCTCTGTACAGATACCCCAAAAGGGGGTGGGAATTTGTGCCATGGTTCGCTTAGGAGCTCCAGTGGCTCTGATTGGTACCCGGGGCATGGTATCTGTAGGTGTAGGTCAACTCCACCTAGGATCAGTTCTTACTAACCGTCGTAGAGGGCATGTTATCACCAAGAGAGCCATCTCCTCATTTGATCTGTCACTCAACTTGTCAGGGCCGCTCGGCGGCCGCTGCCTCTCCTCTGTTCTGTCTCTTTGTTTTCTCCGTTTTATGGGCTCTGCACCTCAGCTGTGTTGCATTCCAGTAATTAGTAACTGGTTTGTCAACGCACACAGCTGGGGTGCATCCCGATGATGACCTTCTTCCTTTATTTAAACCTCTGGCAGACGCTCCGCCGTGGCCGGAACATTATCGAACAGTATCGAACATAACCTAACGAACGATAACAAACTAACCAAGTAACGCGTACACATGTTTTGGATAGAATGCTACGTTGACAGACTCTGTACGTTTTGGCTTGACTCTATCGCACTACATACGCGCTACACGCTCTTCACACTACACCCCACTACATAGTTTCGATTCGTCTCCGGAGCTTTGCTACACGTTATGGACAACATGTACCCCGCCTCCTGCCGTTAGTTTGTTTGTTTACCTGTTCGTCCTGGTCTCCTTTGTTATCACTGCCCTTCCTTTGTTGTAAGTATTACGGACCCTGTTTTGTTGTTACGTTGTCGTTGTCTTATTTTTCCCTATTAAACCTTTTTTCGTACTAGCACCTGGGTCGGCTACCTTGAGTCCTACCCCTAGTTCTCCCTCACCCTCCTGGCGAGGGGGACTAACCATAACACAACTTTCCACATTCCCCCAGGTCTAATAACTGTACTCACTTCAGGAACCAGTCAGATTGGGTGGAAATGAGAAGGAAATAATCAAAGCAAGTGTTTCTGTTGAATTATGGATCCTAGACATCTGCTGAAATTACATTATGCATTTGTCAGTCATCCATGCTTGCAATTATTTTTCTAGGGTGGACATAAGGCAAGTGAAACGAATCCAGCACTATGACTGGTCAAGCTGTTCTTTTGCTTTTTGGCAGTAAGACGTACAGTATGTCTCTGTTTTTAGAGATACTGGTTGGTGTAGGTTTGAGTACTGCACAACAGGTCAACTCAAGGTGTCACCAGGCTTGTGTACCTGACAAATACCAGTGTGCTTTGGTATCAAAATGTGTACATGCTACACAAAATGCAAGTTGGCAGGTGTGATATGGATACCATGCAGCAATTTCAAATATTACACTGATATAACATTCTTTATTTCAGACTACCATATTGCTACCAAATTTATACTAAGCTATTTCTAAACATGTCAGATATTGGGCTTTTTTGAACCCAGATGGATAGAACAAAGAAACGATTATGTAGTTTATTCTGCAATATGGGTACAAAACAAAGCCACTCTGGGTGCAGAAATCTATGGAGTTCAGGTATGGAGTTATTATCTGGCAGGGCTGCTTCAGTGGTCTCAAAGGTTTAATCAAGTTTTTTACATATCTGTGACTCTCGGTGGAAAGTTTAATGAGATCCAGGGAGGCTGAAGCAGTCTGATAAAAACATCTCACAGGCTCAAACTGTTCTCTTTTTGTTTTGGAGTTTTGGAGATGAACAAATACTAAGTAAATTTCAAAGTAAGAAAGCTGTTACTGAGAGAATTCATTAATACATTTTTGCATTCTTCAAAGTGAACGTCTCATTTTTTTATTGAGATATTCCTGTTATATGTCTTAATAATCAATATTTTATAATTTACCTATAAAATGGAGAAAGAGCTAAATGAAACATATATAACTTTTGGTGGGCATGTGGAGCTTCACAAATACAGATACCTTTATTTTATGGTTCTGTTTACAGTATATATTCTAATAATCTACAGTAATTGTACTATTGTGTACCTGATCTGGAACCACCATGACCTCCATGAGCCTATGTACATTTTCATTGCAGCCTTGTTACTGAACTCTGTTCTTTTCACCACTAATATCTACCCAAAGCTGTTGATCGACTTTTTATCTGAAAAACAAATCATATCTTATCAAGCCTGTCTTGTTCAATATTATATGTTTTATTCTTTAGTTTGTTCAGAGTTCTTACTGTTGGCAGCCATGGCCTATGACAGGTATGTGTCTATATGTAAACCTCTGCAATATCCAACCATCATGAGAAGAAAAACGATCGGTGTCTTTCTGGCTTTAGCTTGGCTTTTACCTACATGTGTTGTCGTGGGAACTACAACACTGAGCTCTAATCAAAAGCTCTGTAGTTTTACTCTTGAAATGATTTTTTGTAATAATTCTTTTTACAAACTTTTTTGTGTGCCTTCAAGAACAATAACTCTGTATGGTGCATTTGGTTTGGTATATTTTAGTGTGTTACCTGTGATCTTCATACTTTTCACATACAGCAGGATACTTATAATCTGTTACCACAGCAGTGGAGAAGTCAGGAGCAAAGCTGCACAGACCTGTGTTCCTCACCTGCTGGTGTTAATCAACAATTTTTTTTTAATAACATACGATATTATTACAGTTCGACTGGAATCAGATTTTCCAAAAATTGCACGTTTAATAATGTCTTTACAATTAGTTCTGTATACTCCTCTTTTTAATCCAATTATATATGGATTAAAAATGAAAGAAATTCATAAACACCTCAGGAGGTTGTTCAGTCAATTGAAAATGAATCACTTTGTTGTAATCTCTTAAGTTTTTTGGCAAGTATATTATGATGTATTACCAGTTTCGGTTTACACCATCTGCAGCCAGCATTTCTACACTTTTTAATTTAATAGTTTTACAGGTGGTGACTTATTTGATGATGTTAACATGGTAGTAGCTCTTGTTGTAAGGTTTAATGAGACCTACAGAGGATCAGGGAATCTAGTAAAAACATTATAAATTCTACCAAAATGTAGATGAACACTGCCCAAATTCAACTGCTGGGAAACCTGTGAATGAATAAGCCTTATTATAAGGCTATCTATGTATGTCTGTTTTATTCATAATTTTTTGGTTTTGTCTTAATGGAGGGTAAATTAAATGCAACATATATAACTCTTACGTATATTCTCATAATCTGCTGTAATTCTATGATTGTGTGCCTTACTATGTGTCACAAAAAACTCCAAGAGCCAATGTACATTCTCATAGCAGCTTTGTTGATCAGCTCTTTTCTTTTCAGCACTAATACCTACCCAAAGCTTTTAAGTGACTTTTTGTCTGAAAAACAAATTTAGCCTGTCTCTTCCAAGGTTTCATATACTACACTCTGGCCACCTCAGAGTTCTTACTGTTGACAGGTATGTGTCTGCATGTAAACCCCTGCAGTATCCAACCATCATGACAAAAACAACTGTCAATGCCCTTCTCGTTTTAGCTTGGCTTGTGCCTGCTTGTGAGATTGCACTGTCAGTCGATCTGTATGCTAATATAAAACTCTGTACCTTTACTTTAAAAAGTATTTTTTGTAACAATTCAATTTACAAAAGTCAGTGTGTGAGTTCAGTAGCACTGTCTGTTTATATTGTTTTTGTATTACTTAATACTGCACTGTTCGCTGTTCTTTTCATATTTTTACATACACCAGGATACTTATGGTATCGTACAGAAGTATTAAAGGCCTGGATGACCTGCAACTTCTTACTTCTAAACTCTGACAAAACCGAAGTCATTGTGCTTGGGCCTGAAAACCTTAGAAATCTGCTGTCTAATCATATAGTTACTTTAGATGACATAGCTCTTGC